GAAAAAGCAATTAGAAATGTGTGATCTCCTCCAATGTTTCCAGTCCTCAAATAAGTTGAGATTGACTGGTTGATAACTATTATGATATGAACAGTCGTCGTGTGTTAAGTGCCTGTGTTGCTTTAAATTATTTCTGCACGTCACCTCATTTAATTCTTCAAAGATAGTTGGAACAACTGCAATGTTGAGGAAACTGAAGCTCAGAGATGTTAAATCCCTCCCACAGGATGCACAGCCAGAGCCCATCAGATCAGGGGTGGGAATGAGGCCAGTTTCATTCTAGTCTTCATTTCTCACTGCTGCCTCTTTCTTTTTCCTCTAAAGAACTATTTCAGGTAAACAAAAACAAGCAGGGAACAATGCAATGTATCTATCCAACTGTCTGAACAAGGGAACACTGAAAACATACTTAACCCTCTTGCAACTGTTCCATGCTTTGCAATATATATTTACTTACAAAAACATCCAAAATTGCTTTTCAGGTTTCCAGTCATAGTAAGTGGTGTTATCCTAGTGTCCTTTTTGAGTAGCTTCCCCCACCCCAGACTCAACACTATCATGTTTGAGATCTATCCATGATGATACATAGAGTTCTAGTTCATTAACTTTCACTGCTGCCCTTTAAGAATTGATCTATCCCATTCTCTTATTGATGGGCATTTCGGTTCTTTCCAGTTTTCCATCATTACAAAGTGCTGCGGCAGGCAGTCTTCACACTTGTGTACCAGAATTTTGAGGGGTGAGCTCTCCTCATTGTACGGAGTGCTGTGGCCTGAATATCCTCCCCTAAGTGTGTATGTTGGAATTCTATGTTGGAATTCTACCCCTCAAGGTGATCGTCTTAAGAGGTGGAACCTTTGGGATGTGAGTAGATCAGCAGGGTGGGGCCTCGTGATTTAAAATTAGTATTTTATCAAAGAGAGCCAGGAGAGCTAGCCAGCCCCTTAGCCTTTCCAGGAGGTGGTGGAAAGGTGCCTTCTCTACCCCAGAAAGCAGAGCCTTCCTACACACTCAGTTTGCCACACCTTGATCTTCAACTTCTGCCTTCCAGAACCGTGAGAAATAAATTTGGAATATTTATAAACCAGCCAGTTGAGGGTATTTTGTTAGAGCAGCTTGAACAGATGGAGATAAGAATTTTTCTCTTACTCTGCATACATCCTTGATAAAACCGGACACTTTAATTCATCAGCTTCTTCCTGAGCATCTACTATGCACCAAGCCCTTGCTGGGTGCTGGGGACACAGAATTGGTTACAAGACAAAGCTTTTGGCTCTAGGAGCTGACCTGGGAGACCAAGCCTCAGCCCGTCAGATGAGATGGGGTGATGAAGGCTCGCACAGGGCAGGGAGTAGCAGGAGAGTGGCTGGCCAGTGTGGGCAGCGTGCCCAGCTCCTTGCAACTCAGAGACCTCCTGCACAGTGCACCTGGCCTCGGACCATGACCTGATGGATTCTCTCTTCCACACAGTAACTCTCGTGTGTGAGTCAGCTGTCCAGTGCCTGAAAAAAAATCATCTAATAGGGAAATCTACATTCTCTACATTCGCTTGAGTTCTGGGACTAGAATCCTTCCTCTGCCTTGGGTGTATCCTGTCCATCTGGAATCATTACGATACTAGATCGTGACTCACGTGTGGAGACCATAGATGCTCATCGCTGACACTGCACGAAATCCTCATTAGCTTGGCACTACAACTACCTCTATTTTTGAAAAGACAAGACTCAATCTGAGCCTGCCTTGCAAGCGCAAGGTCCTGAGTTCAATCCCCGGTACAAAAAAAAAAAAAAAAGACTCAGAACAGGTAAGTAATTTACCCAACGCTGTCCTGGTAGGAGAAGACAGAACTGGGGTCCATCCCAGGTTGCACTGTCTCCAGAGTTCTCCATCTTTGCCAGGATTTTCCTGACACATCTGGGCGTGAGTCCCCTCCTTACCAATAAGAGCAGCACCATCAAAGAGAAGTTACTTACACCCAGACACAGCCCGCTCACTACTCACACAGTCTCCTCTTTTGCTTCAGCTACTCAGGAAATTAGAACAAATCCTATTTTTAGACACTGTGGTTCAAATGACAGTGATGTATAGTTAGTGGCTCGTTTTTTGAACAAAACTCAAAGGTGTTACCTGGTCTAATGCTTGGAAACTCTCTTACATCACTCTCTGCCTTGAGCTTTAGAATTTATTTTAAAGATTGCTTTGTTTCTCCTTTCTCCAGGAGACCTGCAGCAGAATTTGGCCAGAAACAGTAAGATCCTGAGCTGACACAGAAGGCTGGAGAGAGGATGAGGCTCTTGTCAGAAATCTGAGACCAGTGGTGACAGGGATAAGCTGAGAGGGGGGCAAGGCCTCAGCAAAAATTACTGTTTGTCTGTTGCTGGGCCTCCAAGAACCGGACATCATTCCTTCCTGCCAGTATTGATTCATTGACTGCCTGTGTGTTATATGACGTCCTACCACGTCACTGCTTACATTTTACATCCAATCATAATCTGTTAGTTTCGAAGACCAGCAACAGGGCTAGACAAGGCGGTGGGAGCCCTGCAAATTCCAAGATGTGGGCAAAGAAAATGAGGAAGGGCGGGGGATGTAGCTCAGTGGCACCATGCCTGCCTGGCAAGCACAAGGTCCTGAGTTCCATCCCTGGTACCAAAAAACAAAAAACACGAAGACAATGAGGAAGAACAGAAAAAGGAGGGAGATGTAGGAAATATAAGAAACAAATTGGAAGCATTTAATCTATGCTAGGAACATCTCACCTACCTACTTAATCATGCTCATTTCTTTGTCAATATTGGAAGGGATCTTCATTTCCATTTTAGGCAACATAGCCAGAAAGTAGCTGAGCCCAAGGCCGACAGCTGATAACCATGGGGTCAGGATGGCGAGATTTAGTAAATAACAATACGGGGCACCCAATTATATTTGAATTCCAGGTAAATGATGAAAAAAGAAGTGATAAGTATGTCCCATGTAAAATTTCAGACTGATACTGTTTGTTGGGGGTTGCGACTGTCTTAGGTTCTTGGTATCCTGAACAAAGAATTGAGCAGGACTCACAGAAGTAGAAATAAAAGCATAGATTTTTTTCATGAGGATCCGATCTTCAGAGTAGGGTGGGCAGGGAAAAGAGCTCATAGTCCCGGAAGATGCCATGTGTCAGCATCTACAGGGGTTTTACAGGGAGGGAGTGGCTCTTTAAACAGGGTGACAATTCACTCCAATCAGGGACAAGTCTCCTTTCTGTTGAAGGAGGGAATTTTTGTCCCTAAATAGACCTTTGAGAACCTGTCATGGCCTCCAGAGCCCACAATATAAATGAGATTACAATTAATTCATTGACATTACAGTTCATTGAGCTGGGGTCACTTTTGGTGGTTTAGGAGATTCTGTAGCACAAGTGTCCCCAGGCATGGCTTAATCGTTAGAGGTGGGTACCCTTGGTGGTTTTCAGAGAGCTTATCTTAGGCCCCCAGAAGTCTACAGCGCATACACACATCCTCTTGTATTCCCCTGCTGTCCTGTAGCTGTCACTCTGTGGTTACTGGAGACCCAGCTTCCTCATCTCCTTGTGGCCTTCAGGTCCCCTCCTTTTAGGAATTTCTCCTCTCTACCTCCTGCCTCAACACTAAACATGGAATCCAGCATCCTGCATTTTACCTGCCACTGTTCCTGAGGTTCACACTCAGGCTGCCAGTTATTTCTCAGACACCCCCGTTCCCTGAGGTGTCGGTGACACTGTAGGACACATGACCACTGACATGGGTTGAGGACAGGCCCCATGTTTGATCTATGATTTCATCTCCCATTTTGGTGGTTGAGGAAATTAAGGTTTGGTGAGATGAAACAACTTGATCATGAGCATAGAGCCAGAAAGTAGCTGAACCTGAAGCTCAACCCAATTCTGATTGGTTCAAGATTTGTCACTCAAAAGAACAAATCTAGGGGCCTGGGGGTGTAGCTCAGTTTTTTCAACATGTCCAAGGCCCTGGGTTTGGACCCCAGCACTGCAAAGCAAAACAAAACAAAAACCCAGAGTTTTCAAAAGTTAAAATTTAACACATGTGTGGAAGAGAGCTTGATATGGAAACATACAGTCCAGTGACGTGACACAAACATCTGTGTAAGGTACCAATCAGGTCAAGACAGAAAAGAGGCTCTGCTTTTGTCACTAGGAGATGGGGGCCTTCCCCAGAGAGTGGCTGGGCGTCCTTTGACGCTGGGCATTGCCAGCCATACTTTGCTGACACAGAGGTTCAGAGCTCTGCTGCCCAAGGTCACAGAGCTTGCTCAGAAGGGGAGAGGGAAGGGAGAGGGAGAGAGAGAGGCTTACCCACAGGTCACACAAGCTAAAACCTATACAGCCTGTTGAAACAACAAACTAAACCCCGGTAAGCAAAACTGCCCTGCTTTGGGTATTGACTGTTTGCAAAGCGCCATATGCCAAGCCTCGGAGCCGCAGCGGTAGCAAGCAGTCTGCAGTGTATGGGGAGATAACTCACTGCCAGGCACCTTGGTCCTTTGCGTAATCATCTCAGTTAATTCTGCCAACCACCCTACGACCTGGGTCTCGAGCCCATTTTACAGAGGAGGAGACTGAGGCCTGGAGGCTTCGGCCTCAGGCCGGGCTCTGCAACAGCCAGGCCTGGGCAGCAGCCGGGCTCCACACGGGAGGCGGGGGAGGACCAGGTGGCGCGCAAGGAGTTAAGCGGGAGGCAGCGCTGTGGCTCCGGCGAGGAACGCGCCGGGCTGAAGCGCGCTGCTGGCGGCGGCGCGGGGAGCTGGGGCTGGAGACGCGAAGTCCGGGGCGGCCAGCGAGGCGGCGAGGAGGCAACGCGCCACAGGCCAGGCGGCTGCATCCGGCGTGGCGGCCAGGCATCCCCGGGCGGGTCCTGCACGGGGCCTCGCGGTGGCGCGGGGCACCCGCAGTGCCGCCCGCCCGCCTTCCAGGCTCGCGGCGGCCGGGCTCTCACTTCCTCTGCCTCTGCCCGCCTCCCCGGCTCGCCGGCTGGCGTCGCCACCGCCTCCTCGTCCCCGGCCACCGCTGTCGCCTCCGCTGCTGCAATCCAGGGCGCACGCTCTCGCACTTTCCGCTGGCGGCGCGGAGGATGCCCCCTGTAGCAGTCGGGGAGAAATAGCCTCCCGGCCGGGCTGGACCACCCTTGGTGGCGAGGAAGGAAATCCGGGCTCCGCTTCCCTTGATGGCACTGCAGCAGCTGGCAGCCGGGACGGCGCCCACGAAACGGGCGCGCCAAGCTGGGCGCGGGAGGCGCAGAGAGGGACCCCGGGAGCAGGCTGAGCTCCGCTGCCGGAGTTCGCAAGTGGCTGGGACTCCGCAGGTAAGAACTGGGGTCCTGGAGATGCTGGGAGGCCCCAAAGGGAGCGGGGCGCAGGGCTGCTGCGCAAGGATTCCTGTCCCCAGGCGGGGCTGCTGTCCCGGCCACGTTCCCGCAGACTGGGGCTCAGCGCCCAGAGCCCCGAGAGAGAACCCAGAGCTGCGAAAACCCAGCCCTGGGTAGGTGACAAACTTTCCTCTGGCCTAGGATGGGACAAGCTGGCTCATCAGGCGTCCCTGCTCTGGGGATCTCTTTGGCTCCCTAGAGCTTGCCCATCAGGGCTTCTCAGCAGAGCTCCTCAGGGGCAAGGCAGGGTCCTTTGATTTGGCTCTTGAATCACCCATTCCCGGCCAGGGGGAGTTCCCAGGGAGAAGGAGCAGATCATATTTACAAGTTAGCTCTATGAGGTGTGGGTTGGGGCTGACACTGGCAGATGAGGTTCCCTGTATCCGGGCAGTGATTGGCTTTGTGTAGAGGGATTTGCACACTTGAAGTGTCCACTCGGAGGTGTGAGAGTGTGTGTAGGAAGAGAGAATTGGAGGCTGGGAGGCTCGTTTAGCTATATCGTCCCCATTCAAGCCCTTCCAGCAGTCCCAAGTATCATCACAGAAGACAACTCACCTCCTTGGCGGAGCTACTAGAAGGGGTGGAGGTCACCTCCCATTCCTTGTAGCTCCAAAGAGGCTGCTTTTTTTAAGTGAGGGAGGAAAAATGGGGGAAGTTTCCTGGGCTACTCAATGAGACCATTCAGGCTGGTGCCTGAGGAGGTGCAAACTTTCTGCAGAAAAAAAGCAGGAAGGGATGAGTGTACAGGGCATCCTGGCACAGTTGTCCCTAGCTCTGGGGATGTGGGTGGTCCCCCCACACTTCAGGCCCCTGGAGGCTCTGCGGAGTCCCATACATAGCTCATGAGTTTGGCCAGATTATTATTTTCTTTCTTGTGAAAAGCCTGCTCCAGAGAGGCCACCTAGACTCCAGGGATGATTTTGGAGCTGCCTCTTCGGTCAGAGCCCCATGGAGGGTTCCCTGCTGCAGTTGCAGCTGAAGGCTGGGGCCAGCTCGATGTCCTACTGGTTGGGACTTGATGTACCTGCAAGGCAGAGACCAGATATGCTTCTGGTCACGACTGGAGGGTCAGGATACTGCCCAGGTGCTATACTCACTGCCTGCTGGGTCAGGTGCCTGCCTCGGGGAGTAGCGTTCCTGTGTGCTTCCTGGACAGTTAATTCTTAGGGCAGGAGATGCAATTCAGAGGACCTCCTCTCCTTGTTGGATTCTGACCTGGGGTCAGGTTATGAGCTGCTTTCCTAGGCTCCCAGAACCCAGGAACCCCTCCAGGATATCATGGCCTGGTGCTTGATGTCTTGGCGAGAGCCTCAGCTCCGGGTCAGGAGGATGAGTTTCACATCTGCCCTCAATTTGCTATGTGACTTCGGGCAAATCACTAGCCCTCTTTGGGCTCCAGCTGCTGCTTCTCTAACGTGAAAGGATGACATGTATCTTCCAAGCTCTCTATTCAGACACCCGATGCCTCTGAGCAATGTCACATAGATTTTCAAAAACCCAGGAGGTGTTTAAGAGACCCAGGTCTCAAGTCAGATCCAAGTTTGAACAGTCACTTCTTTTACCAAGCTTTGATTCCTCCTCTATACAATGTCACAGTTCCTACTCTGGAAAGACACTGGGAGCACTGAGTGAGATGGAGTAAGAGAGTGCCCAGTGTCTAGCAGAGCACGGAGCTCAGCATGGATAACAGCAGGCTCTCCGGTTTGGGGTCTCGAGCTTGGGCACCTGGCTGCTGTTTCCCTGGGGAGACTGGCTCTCTCTAGCCCACCCCAAGCACCAGTGATCTTTGATTAGGGGGCAGGGTCCCCATTCTCTCCAATCACCTGATACCTACAGTCCCCACCCCCACTCTGCTTCCTCTTAGAAGCTCTGCTGGACCAACTGCTCCCAGTGGGGAGCCCAGGGCAGTCTGGGAGGGCTGGATGCACCCAGCTGCTGTGTCGCCATGACAACAGGAGGTGGTGGTAAGCTGCCCCTATGGCTTCACTTTTGTAGCTGTCTGGGGACCCAGAGCCTAGAAGTCCTGTCTGTCCTGTGTCAAGCATCCCATCTGCTGAGGGGCTGAGGGCTGCTCCACATTAGGTAGGGAGGCTGCTGTTCCTGGCAAGCACAGCCACACCAGGGAAAGAACTCTTGTACAGTCTTATGGGGGGCTGAGACTGAGGGGGAACATGGTAGACTGTTCTGACTTCTTTCTGACTGGTTTTGAGGCTTGAGGGTGGCTCTGAGTCCTTGCTTGAGACCACTGATGGAAGGGAAGATCTCATCCCCACTGGTGCAGGAGAGTTGAGGGTATGTGGTAGGGACCGAGCAGGAGCCAGAGCACTGCGTGCTGCCTTAACTTGGCTTAGACTCTGAGGAAATGAACAGTCTGTGCTCCTGGTAGAGTAGTGTGTGTGTGGACACGTATGAGAATGTGTGCATCTCAGGGTTTGTGCCCATCTGCTTACGGAAGTATAACTTACATTAGAACCTTAAGTGTGTGTGTGTGTGTGCACATGTGAGCCATGTCCGTATGAGTGTGTCCTTGATGTCTGGTGGATTTATGAGTGTGTACATGTCTGTAGATTTGTGAATGTGTGTGTGCACCTGCAAGAGAACAGGTGCATATGTGTATCAGTGCAAGTGGTGAGGCTTCAGTGGTTGTGGATGTATCACAAGCAGGTGTGTGTATGCACAGATACACATGAGTGCTATGAGGCCCCATGTGGAAATGCTTGTGTTTGAGAAGCTGCACATGTCTGCCTGGGTGCATGTTTTAGTGGCTGGCTGTTTGTGAGTGCTGCATGTGTGTGAGTGTGCATGTGTGTGCAATGAAGTGCAATGAGTGTGGATGAGTACTATGCACCTATGGGCATAGGTATCTGCATGTTTTCCAGGGCATTTCTGTGTATACCTCTGTGTGTCTCTCTGTATAGCATTGCACACTCAGTTGTCTGTGTGTGTACCTGTTTGTCATGTCTGTGTATACATGTGAGTTGCTCCACATGGGTATCTGTGATTGTTACAAGGTACATTCGGTTGTGTCTCTGCACACATGTGTTTCTGTGGGTACAGAAATATTTCTGAGTATGTGACTGTATGTAGCATTGCATATGTGGTTATATCTCTCTGTGTACATGTATGTTTGAGTGTTGGTACCTGGGTGTGTTAGCTGCAGTGTACATTTGAGTGTGTCTGTGTGCATGTCAGTGTGCCCTGAGTGTGTATTTCTGTGTGTTGTGGTGTAACTTGCACACACCTGTGAGCGAGTGGCTGAGTGAGCATTCCTGGCTGTTGCACTGTATCCTCTTGCATGTCTCTGGGTGTACATGGGTGTGTTTCTGAGGTGTTTGCCTGTGTGTGTGGTGGTGTGACCTTTGCATGAGCCTGATGTGTACATGTGGACTCCCAAGCATGAATATCTCAGAGGCTGTGGTCTGAGTGTCCGTGTGTGTGTGCACAAATGCTCCCGTGCACTTTCAAACAGAAACCAACCTGAACCCGGAGGACCACTCACTCTCCTGCCTGCTTTAGGTCTGAATTGTGCTCATGCTGGGCTCCTTCCGAGTGTTGCTCCAGGAGTTGGTGACAGCTCTGAGGAGGGTTGGCATGCTGTGCGTACATTTCCAAGTGCCTGTGCCTGCTGGTGCTCCGAACCCCTGTGTGCTCCCACTTCTGCCTCCCTTGCCCCTCGCAACAGCCCAGGTCTCTCTTGCCAGAAGCCTTCACGTAGGGCTACTGCTGAACAAACTCACAGATGTTGAAAGAGCAGGTATAATTTTAGGCAAAAGGTCTGAAAATAGGCAGCTTTGGATGTGCTGAACATCTTGACAGCAGTGTTTCTAATTAGGAGCAACTTGTTTTCCTTAAATAAACAAATCAAGTGAGGAAAGAAATTGCCTGAGATTAATGACTCCCCGGAGCAGGTCCAGATATTGGGAAGATGGGAACTGGGGTGGGGCACGAATGGGTCTTTGGTCCCCATGCACTGACAGTACTAGTGATGCTCAGGGCCCTTCCAGAGTGTGACTGAGGCAGGAGCTGACTTGAGACCCTGAGGAGTTGGTCAGGGCCGGCAGCAGGGCCCCTTTCCAAGGTCCGCCTGGGGCTTGTTAGCTCGTAGAAGCATCACTGGCTGCAGTTCTTCCCACCCCAGGCTGATGCCTTAGTCAGGAGACTTCATCTGTCTTCTACACCAAGAGACAGGCAGGGCTTGTGCTGCTCATCTTTCTGCTTGGCTTCAGCCATGTGACTAGCATTGGCCACTAGATGGGGTAGAGGTGACAATATGTCCACTGTGCTTAGGCCTTAGGGAACCTTATGTGCTTCTGTTGTGGCTGGGAAGAGCTTCCCTGAGGTCACTGCTGCCTCTTGAGCCAGGCTCAACCCTAGTGGAGAGCAGCAGCCAAACTAGCACACTTAAATCCCAGCTGGCCACACTAGGCGAATGCTGCTTCTTCTCTTTCCCCAGCATTGGGAATTATTTGTTACACACCATTATTGTGGTCATAGCTAACTGATGGAGTTACCAGTAAATAGTCTATATTTCCTTTTCCTGTTTGACCTTGGAACTCATTCAGAGGCACATAATAAAATCCTGCACTTCTTACCGTTGCTAGCCCATCCCGACCTTGCTCTCTGTCTACCTCAACGTGAACAATGATAACAGTAATAGATAACACATGCAGTGTTCACTAGGTACAGCCACCATGTCAAGGTCTTTATCTATCATCTGTCACTCATAGCAACTCTATTAGACAGTTTCTGTTATAATCTCTTTTTTTCATAATCTGTGAGCCTCAGAGAGGTGAATTGATTTGCCCAGGTCACACAGTCCTGGAGAAACTTTCCTGAGATTTGCTCATAGATTACCTGATATCAAAGACCGTGGGGTTTTTTTTTCCATTAAGTTTATTGGTATATTTTAGGTATACAATACAGTTACATTCATCATT